TGCAATGTGAAATGTTTTAATTGTCTAAATGCCAAATTTTGTAATTAACCGTATTTCTATGTGAATTCCCTACAGAATATACTGGGTAAGATGTTTGTCTAGGTAGTGATTGAGTCTGCATGCTGTTTTACCAGAACATTCATGCTTTATGTGCTGATAAAACATTCCTGAGTACTTTCAGAGACACTTGCTGAACGAGGATATAGTAACATGTTATCTTTTAGCTCTGCCTTGGTTTTTAGGCCATTCTGGGCTGCTAGGTGCTGACAGCCCAGTTTAATTGCATGCCACAAAGTGTGCTCCTGCAGGAAGAGAGGAAGAGCGAGACCTCTTTGCTGTCCTGAGCTGTTGTATCCTCTCACTTGTTTTACGTAACTTCCTACAGGGCTCAGGTTCCTCCATGCTCATTTTCTGAAAATGAAGCTAAGCTAGATTTCCATTCTAATCAAGTTCAAATCTCTTAGAGGTACATGTCACAAAATGCAGTTCGGTCTCAGCTCTTATCTCTGGCTGTGGAGTAACCAACTGGAATGAGATAACGCAAGAAGGGGTGGAAAAACCAGGAGGGAAGTGGTGCCAAAATGTATCTACAAGAGGACCTTGCAGAGACAGCCATTATATTTATTGAGGCCAACAGACTTTCCATTACAGTAAGCTAGCCATAGAGTTGTGGTGAAACTGTTCACACTGACTGTAGTTAAGTCATCCATGTAGGCATGGTACAGCTCTCCAATAACTTTCACAGGATTGCTCTGTGCGCTTCTCCGCCCATACCTTAAATTTGAGCCTGATGAATGGAGGGAGGGTTGTACACAGCATGGGAGGTTCAGGCTGGGTAGTCCAGTTCAAATAAACTGTCCTGGCTGCTCTTTCTGCTGTGTCTTACACTACTTTCCTTGAACTTAAAAAAAGCAGGGTTGTTTGGAGGGGCTTTTTAATAGGTTAGTTTTAATTCAAGTCAGTTGGTTAACTGCTTGGCCACGAGTGCTTGTGCCAACACAAAGGAGACCTTGCGGCAGGAGAAGGAACAAAGGGTGACGGTCTGGAGGGAAAGTCTTTTAAGCCCACTGTGATGCTGATAGTGCTTGTGGATCCACCAACAATGCAAGCATTTCTGCTCCCCGAAGCTCATTTTCTACATTTGGCTCAAATATAGTTTGGTCTACCAGGAAATAATCTAAATGGGGCATTCAGAGGACTTTCCGGGGTAACAGCCCTATCAAAGACATGTAAAGTGACCCATTCATGGCAGTGAATGAGTGTGCTTTAGAGAAGAATGGAACTTTTTAGTACAGGTCAGAGCGGTGATTGCTCCGTTTATCTGCCACACCTCAAAAAATTCAGGATTGCCATTTGCAGACTGGGGAGGAGAAGATTTGCCTTCGCAGTAATCTGAATGGCCCCCTGGTAATAGTGCAGATATTTGAGGAGGGAGAAGATCTCAAGTTTTTTATAGGATTGCTGCTCTTGCCATCATTACTTGGTGTTGGTTTTGAGTTTTAAGCTGGATCATTTTCATTATGTGATTTATATTAAGATTCACAGGAGCAGCTACATGGAAACAACTTGGTCTGGTTTTTCTGCTAAAAAGGAACCATGCTGTGGATCTATGTCTAAGAGGGCCCCTCCTCCCAAACCCTTTCTGTCTTTCTGTAGTGCTCTCACACATAACCATTTAGCATGTGTCAGGTGGTGTCCCAAGTTCCATTTAACTCACCCATAAGTGTGCCTAGACTAAATATTGTGTGACTGTAATAAATGTAAATCTGTGATCAGAGCAGAGCCACCGCACAAGCTCAAGTGGATAGAAAAATACACTGGAAGGATGAGTTGGATTAACTAATGCTACTTTCAAAGGGACTTTTTTTTGACAAATCCCTCACTCTGGCAACATTCTATTTAGCCCATTGTCACTACCCCGGGAAATGCTGTCAAAAGGAGACAGACCATAGCTCTGTACAACCAGAATTCTAAATGTGCAACATTGATGTTATTTTGTCCCTAAGCAAAAAGCAATAGGGAATCATAACTACAACTGCAGTGAAGAAAGGTTGTCTTGATGCCACTTTGATTTACCTATCTCAGCGTCCTACATATTCAAGTGAATGAATTGTTATCTGTATAAATGGGAGTAGCACATAAATATTAGACCATGTCAAATGCCCCATGCACTTGACATCTCTTACCATCTTTGACTGAAAATAAACGTGGACAGCAGGAAAGAAGGAAATAGCTTTCTGACAAAACAATTACAAAAAGCAAGCTGTGCTTTGCAGCCACAAAGCAGAATAGAAGTGGAATCCGACACAAAGGGAAGTCCACCTTCTTTGGGCATTTGTTTGTCAGATAAATCCTGCTCTCTAGAAAGTTTTCTGAGAAAAACCCCTTTTACTTGGAAAACCACTTGTGTTCTTTTTTCCCTGTCAGTTCTTGCTTCATGTCTACCCTCTAGTGTTGATATGAACAGTTTCCAAGTTAAGACTGCAAATGTGCTCTGCAATTCTTTGCTCTGACCTAGTAAGAATTTAAACAGTCCTTTGCCTCAGTGCTTTTGTGCAATTCTCACCTAAACAACAGCATTTAAAAACAGATATGTATTTTTGGAAAGATCTGCTTCTTTTAATGAGTAAAATAAGTCTTTATTTTTTATTTTGTGGAAGAAGAGAAAGTTTTTTGTGGGACATTGTACTGAATGACAGCAAAATTTTGGAAAGATTGAGTGATTATGCATCACTTAGAATTTTAAGTGCAGTTTGTCTTCTGTGCAGTGCTAACTGCCTCCCTCAGGTTAGCCTTTCTTCTGCGAGGGCAGTCACACCGCAACAAAAACAACCTTTGAGCTGCTCAAAGTTAGGCCTAGCACAGCTGAGAACTTGCTGGGCTGCTTCAACTCACACAGAAAACCATGTGCTTTTTTTTCCCAACTGGGCTAGTCTTGTGTCAGGTTAGTGAGCTGAACTGGTTTATTGGGGATCCAGCAAGCATCAGATTGCTCAGAGTGGCGTGGAGAAAAGGGGATTTTCTTATTGCAATGAGTTACCAAATCAACTTCAGCCTTGCACCCATGGAACAGAGCAGGTAGAACAGAACATGTAAGTGATTCATGTTATTTTCAGTACGGTTACTGTAAAAACTTAATTTAAATCTAAATTGAACTAAACTGTTTAAATTTACTGGAGTCAATTAGGCTTGGATCACACATTTTTCTGGTTCACGTGTGGAAAGAGTAACCTGTGATTTTAGTACTGCTAGGAACGGCAAGGTCTTCAGCTGGCTTAGCATGTTCCAGAAGGATACCCAACTCCTGTGATGGCAGGGACAGAGCCCCTGTTCTCCTACCAAAGACAGCAGTATGCAAGTAATACGATGCAAGGTCAAGGATGTATCTTTGAACCAACTCATTGCAAAGAGAGAAGAAAGATTTTTAAACCAACAATGATACTAATATTACAAGCCAAAGAAAGTTTATACTGAGAAACCAATGTAAAATTTGAAAAGTGATAGATAAGCATACACTGGAATGATCGTATGTCCATGTCACTGTATAAATGAGTATGACCCAACCCCTATGATTTTCTAGGGATCTTTCTCTGACTTCTCAGAATTATTTTAAAAATGCTAGTCCAATGGCAGATAAAATCTGCCTTAGTGGAAATTATTTACCTTTGCAATGTCTCTCATAAAAGAATTAACAAGAAAATAATTAACCATCGAGCAGGAAACAAAGCACTATATCCAGTAATATTTTTGTGTAAGATTTTATGAAGAGGAAATTGGGTGGAATTTAGGCCTCTGTGTATAAAAAAACTTGGCGGCTGTTGCTGCTGCAGTAAGGACTTGACTATTTGACTTCATTTGTGCCCTTACGTGTGCCCAGAACTGTCCTAGCTTTGGCAGGGCTGTGTAGGTCTATGCCCAAACATGACTGAGATCCAAAAATGAGTTGTTCTGCTTGAATACACTGAAAGGAAAACCCTGGAAATGCGTGCCTTGTATAGGCTGTAGAGTGCTTACACAACCACAAAATTAAGTAGTTGCTAGCAGGATTTTGCAGAGTAATGGTTAGTTATGGCATGGCACTTGTCACATGTCACTGTTCCCTGCACTGTTTCTATGTTTTCTGTACTTCATTTGGTTACTGCACAAACCAGACCCCTTGCCCAGAAGAGAACAGGGACCAGAACCCAAGCCTGCCCCTTCTAGGTGGGCATCAACTTTGTGTACTTTCTTTCTGGCTCATTGAGTTCTCCAGTTCATTGCTGCACAGCGTCATACCTTCAGTGGGCAGAGGGGGAACATCCCCCACCCTAGTAGCATAGGCAGGTGGCAAGGCTAGGAGGAGGGTAAGTGCTGATAAAGGAATTAAGTGTTGTGTTTTCCCCACCAGCCTTGCCTAACTAAAAAGAAAGTTCTCTTACAGCTTCAACTGTTTGGTTAATTACAGAGGACTAACTTGCTAGGAAGGTCATAGAGATGGTAATTGGAAGTGATGGGATGAAATTTTAACTGTATGTTTTCTTTGATCAGTCAAAGTGTTCTTTTCTTTCAATTAAGCCTGTTAATTGTGGCATGTAGGTGAGCCAAGGCATGCAGGTAGAGGTTATATCTTTTATTAGACTAACTGATATCATTGCTAAAAGCTCATCTTAAGGATTATGATGGGAACTCATAATAATTTTAGTTTAAATGACTGCAGGTGAATATATTAAAGGGGAGCAAGCATGTACTCATGTGGGTGACCTATACACATAAGTAAGTCTTATTTAATTTCTTACTATCTGCAAGAATCTCTTTGCATGCTAATTTCATAGAAAGTTCATTAAACCAACCTGTTGTATGGCTGATGGATCAGCATACAGCTGTGTTCTGTTGAGGTCTTGAATTTCCTCTTGCTTACAAAGCCTTTCTAACAGTAACTTTTTGCCTTCTGTTACTGCGTGCACTCTCTCTGTTAATAGTTTTTGGAAGTGGAGTATGGTGTTTTCAGAAGCACTTTTCTTAAGTGGAACAGGTGACACCTCTGTGGACAAAAGCAAAGTATGTAGTTAGAGTGCACAAGTCAATGAACTGCTGACACTGAAGTTTAGCACATGCTAGGTTTTCCTAATGCTGTCCTCCTGTTATGCTCTTTTGGCAGGCATTGCCTGGTGTTGTGCAAGGCGTCATTGTAGAATGGCAAGTAGGAATGAAGCAGACCTTGTAAAAAATCACTCATATTTGAAACTTTCAGCTTTGCCTAGCTACTGCCTTCTGCAAGACATAATTATCTAATAGGCAGTAAGTGAAAGTATATTTAATCACATAGAGTTAGTCCTGTTAGTAGAGTTTGTGATGGTGAACTTAGCAGGTTCAATTCAGAAATGTTGTGGTATTTGGATCTGCTGTGTTCATCTGTCTGTAGGCAAGACATCATTTTAATATTACAGATAGGGGCGAGCCTCCTAAAAAACTAAGTTTGTCATCCCTCATTGTTGGACTTTTTGATTATTTAGGGCCTGACAATTCTGTGAGGAAGACTTAAGGTCCTGACCTTTCCTATAGCAGATTGCATGCTGCCTATTTCTATCCATCCCTTCATTTTTCTCTGATTCTATACCATATATTTGTTTTGGAATAGCTGTCTTAACCTGTTTTCTCTTGTACAACATGTTAGACATTATATGTTAGACATTATATTTCTAAACATGTAATTTCTCCTCTCGTTTACTGGCATATAGTATAATATGAGGAAACCACAACCATGACTGTGATATTGTTCCTATTTTCCTCTGAGCAACAGAGGTAATTAAGACATCATCATTTTGAAATCTTTTTATCTTTCCCTTGCACTTGATTCTTATAAATCAAGTATTTCTTGACATTTACATCATTTATACCAGGGATAAGGACTGAAATAAAGAAATTGCAGTTTTCCTTAGGCCCACATTTTTATCAGGACTCTTCTTTTGCAGATAGTTGAGGGTGAGAGAAGAATGTTGGTTTGGGGCTTGGTGTTAAGTTCTTGTATGACTTTTTTAACTGTTTGAGTACTGGAAACTAGAATCTGGCATCCAGTTCAACAGCAGTCTGTGTACAGATGCTTTAAAAAGTCAGGGCTCTTACCATCACTCCATGTTTTTCTCTTGATACTCAAGGATCCTGTGTTTGCTGTAACATCTCCCACTGAAACTTAGAAGAGAAAAGCAAGATGACTAAGTATTTTGCAGAGATTCTCAAAGCACAGTCAGTCACACACAAAAAACCTTTATACTAGCCAAAAGCAAATGCATTGGGACAAGTGACTTGGAGCAATGAGAATCTTCTAGAAAAGTTAGGTGCTGGGCTGGCACACAAGATCAGGGTGGAGACACATTTATTGGGCAGAAGCCTCAAACAATAACTAAAGCTTTTTTTTCTGAAAGGGTATTATTTTACTGTCTCCTCCATCAGCATTCACAACACAGATTACACAGTCCTTTTCCAGCATGTTAAAATGCAAAACAGCCAGATTGGCTGAAATATTCTTGGTATTGACAGATTCCATTCACAGAGAGCAGAAATGAGCAGTAATATCTTCAGTTTCTGGATTTGGAAGAAAATACCTGTCTTAAGAATGTGATCAGACACAAGAATGAGGCAGGTGAGAAGCAGTGGTGTTATCCCATGACTGTGTGGATGTCATTCCAGCCTCAACTAATGGCACTACCATATGGTGCCTTTGGACACCAATATGGGCTCCGATTCGTGACTAAGGACAGCTGGCTTAAGGATGGCTCCAGCAGTTTCTGCTCAAGCTGTCCATCTGGCTTCTGCTGCAGAAATGGTTCAAATCCTCCACTAACATTTGTGATGTTCCAAATTACTATCTAACATGTATTTGAGAAAAATCAGAATTAGTTCTAGTTTACCATAACTCACTGAGCTCTAAGCTGCCGTGGTTAAGTTCCTTCTACAAGAGCATCTGATCTGCCTGGAGCAGGGGCAGGTGCCCCCGAGAGCTGAAGCAGTTGGCCAGTCATGAGAGCCCTTAGAGCAGGCACAAGGTTAGCTATGTAGTTCCTAGATCACAGGTCTTTTGATACTGAAACAGAAGCAAACTCTACTTAGAAAACTGATTCTGCTTTAGCAAAATTAATATAATAATTACAAGTGCTCAAATAAACATCACTGCCCTGGATTTTTCTCTCTCTTGACTGTGCTGTGAATTGAATTAATGAAGTTTGGTTTTTTGGAGTCCTTGCACTTGGCTTGATTGTTACAGAATTCTGCAGTTCTAAATGAGATGAGCATGCAGCTCTCTGTCTGTAAGACTTTACATGCCTGGTAGATCACCTCTAAAACCTGCCACGTTTTCTAGCACCGTTTCACTGTATCTCACTTAAGCTTCCAAATGCACACATATTCTCCAATAACATTGAACGCTTCAGGTGCTTTCACTTTCTGTTAATGTTATGACTTCTAAACTCCTCCGAAGACAATTTCTGTTCACTGAATATTGCCTATGTGACCATGTTCTACAGGTTCTTCAGTTATTTTCCCTTTCCATTCTGGCCACATATTTCACCCCCACAGCACAGGTCAACCCGCAACTTTAAGCTTCATTTTAAGTGCTTTATCTCATCACTGAAGTTTTTAGTACCTGATAGGAGACTTGAACTTTCACATCCCCAGCTCGAGGGACCCAGAGGCTGTCTTCTTAAGATACAGTCAACTTCATCGTAAAATCTCATTTTTCTCCTGGGATTACCGAGGTGCTCATTTTCCTTCTGCAGTGCACGGTATTCGTATTTTAGGTTCTTGTACTTTGTGCGACATTGTTTCCAGTCTCTGTCTATACCACGTTTCATTAACCTTCTGGCAATTTCCTCAAATATTTCTTTATTTCTTGTGGCCCCTTCAAGCATTTGTTGTATCTTTTCATCTGACCATATGTTTATCAGAGCTCTGACTTCATTATCACTCCAGTGTTTTCCTGCTCCAGTATCATTGACTGTAATAACTTTAAAGTGATTTTGTGTTTCTTCCAAGGGAATGTGATTGTCTGAAAATATAAATGAAACAACAACTGAGTATTGCTGAATATACATGCATTAAAGTGTAATTGTAGCTAATGACTCGGTAACAAGCTGAAGGATTAATTAGTGTTTATAACAATCTCTTGTTATGAAAATCTTTTAATGTTACAAGGTTAATATCCATACATGATTACATTTCTCTTAAGTATGCAAAATATGTAGCAAGTGAAATCTCTTGTTTCTCCAGGGCATCTAAAATGCAACATTTTGTCACTGTAATTTTGTTGCCGTTGTCAAATTAAAAACAGATGCATCCAAACGTTACATGCAGGAAAGCAATAGGCTTTAAGCTTTAAAGCAACAAGATATCGCCACCCATAAGAAAATGGCTTCCCAATATGGTTTCAAATTAGAATGGCAAGGCAAAATATGCACATGAAAATGCTACTGGGGATTCAATGGAAGAAAAAAATCTTACCTACATATTCAGAAGTAAGGTGATGCTGCTTATCAGCTAAGTATAGAATGCAAAGTTGAACTACAGTATTAATGCAAGTGACAGGGAATAGAGCTATGAAACTAATTTTTAAGTTTAGCGATAAGGCTAGACTGGAGTCAGAAGTAGGAAAATAGAGCTGTGCTTACAGTAGAGATCTGGTTGCTCCAGCTTTGGTACTGAAATTACAATGCGATTTTGTTTCAGAATAAATGCATAGAAATTTATCCTCACCTGTCGCAACCATCCGTTTTGCTACTGGCGTACAAGATCTGTCTTCTGAGGTAGTGCTTATAGAATCATCATCTACAGAAACACACGGTTTTAAATAAAGTAGACTTGGACTTGGACAAATAAATTGCTAATATTATTGTCATCCTCTGCAGGTAACACCTACTTTCAATTAAAAATGTCATAACCTATTAGTCTAACCCATCAGTTATTACAAGTCTTTTGCCACATGCTTCCTTAAATCAAACTACTTATTGGCATTTCTTGTAAGCCCTATCTTTCCTGCTGCCCCTACATTCCCCAAAAGGTAGCTGTGGATGTAACACAGTTTTAAAATACTCGATTAAACACATGCATACATGGATGGTTTGTATCTCACATATAAGTCAATTTGCACAACAAGTTTGTACACCTTGATTAGCACAGGTGTGCCTTCCAGTTGTGTTCCTAGGCGAGGCGGGTAGGGCAAGCTTGGGGAGGCTTTGGTGCCATTTGTATGGGCACGCGTCAGCGGATTCACTCACACCTAACAAGGCTTGGCCTGCAGCCTTTCCTTTGGTGGCATCATGCATGCTCCCTCACTGGTCTCATGAAATGAGCAGGGACTTGAGCCCTAGAAGACCACTGCCCCCCTCTCAAGTTTGGAAGCTGTGCACATGATTCGGATGCGATGAGGAGTGAGAGGCGCAGGCACCTGTCAGCAGACCTGCACGCAGTGTGACTTTGCACAAGCTGCATTTCATACAGCCGATGGGGCTTTTCTCCGATCTTTGTGAGTTGCCCTGGTACAAGAGAAACAAACTGAAGAGAGGACTTTGCTCCTTATTCCTACTTGTTCTCCTCTATTCAGGATTCCTTTCTACCACAAAAATAAAAAAAAAAGAAGTGGTTTAGAGTCCGTTTTAGAGGCATGCCTTTCCCTGATTCTGGGAGGGAGGGCAGGGAGGGATGCTAGGTTTTGTGGGGAAGGTTGCATACTTTTGCCTTCCTTTAGGAGACAGCCATGTTTATTTACTTTTGGGTGAAAGGCTAGTCTCTGATACAGAGCTTTTGTCATGGAGATAACGTAAGCAGAAGAAAAACTGGAAAACAAACAATTCATTAATGCTCTTGTGGAAATCTTTAGCCTCAGCTTAAATTGCACTTTCTATATGTAGGGATGGCTTTATCCCAAAGTATTCTATGTGGCTTAAATGACAAAACGGGAAAGACAGAAGAACTTTCTTATTCCACCAGCATCTGCGTTCTCTTCAAAATTCCATCCTTAACAGGATAGAAACATCATTATATTATTTTTCTGTGTGTCTACATGCCAGTTTTTTCCTCACTGCAGAGCTGAGGCTGTAATACCTTTGCATTCTTTCACAGCATAAAAACTATTCCCTTCAGAAGTAAAATTCAGGAGCCCTCAGAATTCTTGAAGCCATCTGTGGACATCAAAACCCAGCTCTGCTGACTCTGGGCTCATTTCCTCATGCTTGGACTTCTCTGAGGCTGAAAGTTCACTTTTGTGTGGAATTACTTTTTGGGTTGGGAGGGAGAGAAAGATTAGTTCTCATTGTTTTGGTAGGGGATGTCATAGACCAATTGTCTTCAATATATTTTTCAGTAAAGGGTAGAAGTCAATATTCCTTATATGTTTTAGAAAACTTAGTGCATGGTTTAGACTCTGTTAGAAATAAGAGATTGTTCGTAAACAAGCAGGTTCATTTTACATGCTTTCTATAATGGTACTTGCTAACTTATGCACAGAGTAGTACTTGGAATTCATATTTGCTTTAAAACTTGCTCTCTCTTAAGTGATTTGGCAAGTACTTGTTTTTCAGAAGGTATATGCAGGAATAAATTTTATACTTATGGAAAACTTACAATCAGAAATTATACTCTCATAAGCATGTGTGTGTGATTTACTTGGGGTACTGGAAAAAAAGTGGTTTTTCATAAATAGGCTACACCATAACTCTTAAGAAAATTCTTGCATCTTCCTTTAACACTTGCAGCTATTGGAAATACAACCTTCAGCCAAAATGGAGCAGTAGGTCTACTCCTGGTCTCTTAAAGAATATTTTTTTAAAAAAAACTATTACCAAAACCCCCCATGGCTTTCATTTATGCACTCATTCTCTCAACCGTGCTGGCTCTCTGATCTCTTTCTGCCTTCGGCAACAGCACTTCTGTACCGCTGACTTGTGTGATTACTATCCTCAATTGGATATTACATGACAGGAACAGGGATTTTGTGTGTATAAGGCAGCCAGTTGATCTGCACAACATTTTATTCTGTGTCATTGTGTATGAACTCTTCTCTTTGCATTAGTGTGACCTCGCTATGTCTCTGAACTTTCAGGGACACAGCTTTACTTTATCCTCAATGTAACTTGTGTTTCTGTGTGTCATTGCTGTGACGGCATTGCTCTGATGTTGTCCTCAGTGTCATACTAGTTACAGTCATTTTTCATAATCAAGATCAGCCTATGCAAACAGTTGTAAAAGCTGTGTTGGATAGGGTGTCTCAACGCCTAAACTCCAGATAACATAATTGCCCAGAAGGAAGCTCTGCCTGGATCACAGAAATACTGATCTATACAATAGAAATATTGTGGTAGAAACTTTCAGGGTAAAAGGCCAAAGAATTGTTCACAGAATCATTATAATGGAATTTTTTATTCTTTTCATTAACTTCTGGGTACAAACAGCACTACTGTAAAGTATTTGATCCAGAATGTCAGGTCAGTAGATTTCAATGTCATTGTTATTTCCTCTGATGCCTTTTTTTAAGACATTCCATGGTTTCTATGCTCATTTATTCCAGATATCCCTGCTGTATTCTAATGTTAAATTTTAATGTTTTTAATAAAACAAATCTTCTCCTGAATACTTGTCCTTGAATGCATGACTTCTACATATTGCTGAGGCTCTGATTGCAGTTTCACTAGTAAAATAATTCAGAATATTCATGGCAGTTGTTTGATAGTGAATAGTCTGAAATTAAATGCACTGTCATGAAGTAGCTTGAAAAGACAGACAAGGTATGAAATGTTCAGTGTTTCTGAGACAGCTATTTAGCTCTCCAGTTTATCCTCTCTAGCAACTGTGTGAAGAAAAACAGTATTTGTGTCACAATCAAATGCAGACTTATCACATCTAGCATAAGAAAGAGTATGTTGGCTGGGAAAATAAGATGTTATTAATTGGGGGAAGGAGAAATAAATGCTTATGCATTTTTGTCACTATGAAATCAAACAAACCCCAGATTTTATCATAACCTAGAAGCAGAACAAGTATAATGTGTGGGAATAACATACGAACCTTAGAAATCTGCAGTTCCCAGTACAGTAGAATGTGCTGTTATAACCATCAAGACACAGTCTTGACCTACCTATGTCAATCGTCTCCTTCTTTATTTGTGTAGATTCCAGAGCTGCTGGGGTGGAACTGGCAAAGTTCCCATCATCCTCAAGGATTTCTGTAAAAAAAAAAAATTTACAGAGTTCTTATCAACTAAACAGGTCTTGAGTTAATGTCTTGAGACTCACCAACTTCAGAATGCCATTAATGATAACTACTGTTAAAGATTTCATCTCTTAATACATTAAAGCTGCCGTTTCTCCACAGTAGTGGGCTTAAGAGCAGAGTGTATGCATTTATATATTAAAATAAATCCAGAACACCACATAACAGCTGCATAACATAAATTTATGGATTAAATGTGCAAACCCTTAAGTTATTTACACCTGGATCAGAATTTGTAGAATGGTTCACTGATCATAAGTTGTCAGGTATGTAGTAACTGGCAAGCCTCTATGCAGCAGAACAGGCAAGACGGTGACTTTCATAAGGGGCGGTGCTTCAGTACGTGCTGAAATCATTGAAAGACTCCCAGGCGACTGATGCTAAGGGTCGCTGAATTAGCCCCGAAGGGGGCACGGATCCTGACATTGCATTGGGGTGCTGTGCCTGGACGCTGGACCTGCAGGGCTGCCTGCCTGCGGATAAAGACAAAGTACTAAACGCCTGTCCTGAGAGCATCCCCGCTGCTGCAGCTTGCCCGGGGTTTACATCAGACAGCTGGGCGCCCGGGCACGGTGGCAGAGGTGTCCCTGGGCTCCTCTCCACGGGGAGGAGGAGGTCGCCGCTCCTCTGCCATTGGCCTCTGGTGTTTAAGGGAGAGCTCCACCCCCCGCCCTGGGGCAGACGGGCGGGTGATGCAAGGGGTCTCTCCCATCCTCCTTTCCAGGTGGGGACACTGCCGTACCGAGATTAGGTGGTGAAGGCCACACCGCGGATCGATGACAGCAGTTTCTGGCTCCCAGCCTGTTCTCAGTCCATTCAAGAATATTGCCCCTAAACATTGAGCAATAAAGTATAATCTAGAGCCATTTTATTAAAAATTACCCCCCAAATCAATACGGCCCTTTTTGCATCAGATGTTCTTTACGGTGTGACCAGCATCATGCACCTCTTTATTTCTTTTTCTTAGCCAAGAATGTGGGTAGGGAGCCTGGCTTTTTTGCTAAGCCACCGTTCAGAGTTTTTGGAGGGAGCGCACAAGCAGAGCAAGACTGAGCCAAACAGAACAAACCATCGGCAGTTTCTGGCATGGATAAAACACAGTGGCTCCATCCGCATTGTTTAGCGAAGCTATAGACAGCTGCCAGCAAATATGCTTGATCTCTACGTTGTGTCTGAAGCATCGCTCACAAGGCCACCAGAGCAATGCTTGTCGCAGCCTTTCCTTTTGCCCGCTCAGACTGATACAAGCTCTGTTCTCTTTTGGCAGTCTGTCACTACCGCTATTTATCCTGTTTTCTGGCTCATGAGCCAGGATTAGTAATTTGTCTCCTAATCCTTACTCTCATGTGTGTCTTGCATAGTATAAAAGGGGAATAGGAAATGTCAAAGCTGGGGGAAGTTTTCAGTGTGTGGCCTATGTTTACTCTCCAACAGCTTGTAAAGTTGCTGCAGTCTCTGTCATGCAGATCTGTGAGACTGGATACAGACAACTTGGATGCACAGTTAGGAGTTTGTGTCTGCAGCCCAAATATGCCTTGGGCTAAGCCAGTGAATAATCAAGAACATTTGGGTTTGCACTTCTCTGAAACACTCTACTTCACACCAGCCTGGGGCATATGTATTAAAACGTTATCTTTTGACTTTATATCTGTACGTTTTAAAATTCCAAGCACACAGCAGTAAGTGTTCAAGCCAACGTAAGTGCCTGAGTATGTACCGACTTAAGATCCTAACTTTAAGCAATGGATTTTTAAAAAGCCCTTGCTTAGGAATGTATCTTGGCAGTGTAATGACTTATTCCAAATTTGTTCTGAGAGGGACATACAGTAAAGTATGCAGAGCACCAAAAATTCTAAAAAAATAATTACAAGAAAAGTCATTTGTTTGAAGCAAAATACTTGCTGTAGATATTTCTAAAGAACATCAGGCTACTGGCATTTCTTAGAATCTTGTTTTCATCTCAACTGTTGTTCCCTGGCACTTCAGATTTAATCTAACACGTATACACAGTCTGTGGTTGTACTGCAAAGTCTGACACATGTGGAATGTACGCGTACATGGAGTTTGAATTGACTGACTGCTGCCTGTGCAAGCTGAAGCAATTGGCTCTTCTGAATAGATTTCTGGAATTAACTGCCCTTAAAAGTGATCTCATGAAATGGAAAGCATCAGTCAAAATGACTAAATAAGGTTTTATTTCCAGATTGATTTAATACGCGTGTCTTTTACCAGAAAAGAGAAAAATTTACAGTGGCCCCTTTCCTAGGTTGCTTTTGCTAAAAACTAAATGGGTTTGTGATTGCTGTGATGCTCTTGCACCCTCTGCTGGCCACTCTGCTGAGAAAGCTACTCCAGGGCAATGCTGCTAGAGAAATCGCAGTGAACTGTTACAGTCTGTAAAAGAACATGTAAGGATGTATTTAGCTTTGTCTTTTGCTTCTCAGGTGGGCATTTGCCGCTCTTTAAGTAGCAAATACATGTGGGCAGAGGAGAAAAACAATACCATGAAACATCAAATAACTAAGTATTTTCCTGAAACTGTTGTATTTGGTTTTTGACTAATACCCTCTGAATTTTTTCCTTACTAGAGTATGGCAAACCCTACTGGACAGTTTATAAAGATTGGCAGTGGTGACAATGTTACTGTGGCTAATAACTCAGATTCACATGTAAGATCGTGAGAAGCCTGTGCACGCCTGAGGTAGCGTGTGCACCTCTGCGCATTTCCGAAGCTGCTGTTGCCAGAAAGCAGATGTCTGCCCAGGCTAGTAGCTAGTAGCTACCTAGACCAGCATATGTATAGCCCTGACTGCAGAGCACATTAACTCCATGTGCTCTGGAACATACCCTGGTGTGGGGATAGGAAGATACCCTGATACAGGCTTAACAGAATTTCTAAATTCTTATTTCTATCAAATTGGGGTTTTTGACAATTTTTTTTAAAGGCACTTGACTATATATAAATTATAATTACATGCTTGTTGAGAAACAATTTTCTCTGAAAGTTCTGTTGAACATGGAGTAGTCCTTAAGAAGTCACATCCTAAAGGCTATCAGTTGTCAGCTACTGATACCAAAGAACGAATATAATATATCACTGCCTGATTGCCTTTTTCATTATTTATCAGCAAGTAAATTTATGAATTCAGAGGAACATACAATCTCTTTACGTACCAGTTTCTCACTTCAAATTTATTTGAACTGTCTAGGAAAGGTGTGTACCATAATTAGAGAATAAAGGGTCCCTGTGATACTGTAAAGTGAAAAGTGTGCACCTTTTCTCTGCTTTATGTAATACGTAATTATGTTACCATTAATAACATTAAAGTCTAGGTGTTTTTTACCACCTGTGATAAAATTATTTGAGTCTGCATTGTTCATTTGGGAATAAGGGAAAGAATTTTGGAAACTGAAACTGCATCTCTTCATGATGGAGTGCTGTGGGTTTTTTCCCCACAAAAGTTTGAATGGTGGTCTTTAGAGTGGATCGGCTGAGCCAGAGACACTTCTGAAACACTTGCTATTTTAATCTTTCCCCATAAAATCAGATTGTAATTACAATTACCCAGAAACAAACAAAGTAGAAGTTAAAATACATATATTTGAGAAGGGAAATGGTAACCAAGGTAAGCTATGGATGTCTTAACACCTACAGTTATCCTAAAGGAATGTTAAAGTGTCAACAATGAGTGCCCAGGACTTTACTAGAAGTATTCAGTTTATCTTAAATAACTTGTTTGGAAGACTGCAATCCAAAAAGTTAAAATATTACATAGCCGTAGGCAGATGACGTTTAGTGGCACTGCTGAATCTGTGTATTATTACAGTGTCTTACTCCTGTTTATGTATATGCAGTAATTTTACTTGTTGATGGGGAGAAGTGGAATTTAATACAAGTAGTCTTATTGGATTATTTTGCAAGTAGTCTTAACTGGACCCCACAAAGTACCATTTATGATTTCTTATGTATTTTGTCTCTCTCAAAATGAGGCCCCTATAGGCATGCACTTTTCATGACAACCTATTTTTCTCCAATGAATGCCTCAAGTGCCCATGGTGATGTGGTAAAAGGCCAGTTATATATTTCTTTGTTAGTAAATTTAAATTAATAAATGTATTTGCTCTTGAATGGTAAAACAAAAATGCTACTGTCCAGTATTCCTCAAATTATCTGTCATGATCAACCATGTCTTTACTTACTTGTCATAGCTGTTTCTTTCGTTATATGCAGAGCTGCGTGATTCTCTGGAGTAGCATTTACAGTAACATCATCTGTCAGAAGATTTTTAATTTGATATTAAAATCTTTCAAGTTCATGTTAGACCATTTTCAGTTCTGTATGACTACTCCTTAGTGCCTAGTTTAGACCATATTCGGCCTCATGCTACTGAAAGAGATCCATGAGGTCCTCTGCTGTGGAGAGTCAAGTCTGTCAGCCTTTGAGACTTTCATGTGTCTCTACTGAATGTTAAACTCCCACTTCCCCTGAAAGTTACACTTTCAGATGTAAACCATAATGTTTCTTTGTAAAGAGCATATGACCTTCATATTCAGTGGTAGGATACTCTTAAGTGAAGTTTTCATTCCCTGACATGAGCGTTTACACAATTATATTAAATACTGATCACATTATATTGTGAAAAAGAGAATGCTGTTCATGCACAGGAGGCCAAACAATTCTAATCCTTGGGAAGACACAGTTTAAATAAAAGTAACTGCAGTAATACATTGCACTCAACTTGCTTAAACCAACAGTTTCTTCTTTACATCTTCAGTTATGAATCCTTGAAAAGATTTACTAGACTGTTTTTATCAAATATAGCAAGCACTGTAAATGTGCACATATATCTGTACTGAAAGTATGGTTATCACTATGATGTTATCTCCTGCTTATAAGTTTTTTAGGCTGCAGCATTTTCTAACCGTAACTACAACATGGGCTTATTTTAGAAA